TTCCATTTCCTTATTAAATTCATGTCAATTAAAGACAGCTCGATGCACTAAACTTTTGTTATGTGAGTACTCTGTAAAAGGGCCAGACCATAAGGGTTACCCTGCTTTTCTGCAAGAGGCTTTTCGTAGCTCAACCGAACCTGTAACTTTCTAATCACATGACAACTATTTTACCAGTTACAGAGGAATAAACATTTTAAGAGAGATTTTAAAGAAGATATTCCCAATTGTTGTTTGTTTTAACTACATATTTAATAACTATATGCAATTAATTGTTTGTTTCCAATATTGTAGTTGTTTGAGTTTGGTGACAAGTTTAGAGGGAAGTATGATACAAGTGTTGGAGCAGCCAAAGGTTACTATCCATCTTTAAGTGGTTACAAGGATGAGTTGTTATGGGCAGCTATGTGGCTCTACAAGGCCACCGACAAATCTCATTATTTAAAATATGCATTACAAAATGCTCAATCTTTTGGGGGTACGACTTGGGCCATCTCTGAATTCAGTTGGGATGTCAAATACGCTGGCCTCCAACTACTCGCCTCTACGGTAAATTCTGATTTTAGTTCTTGTGATATAATATATAAAAATGTGCGTTTTTAATCTTTTCGCTCGTTGATTTTGACAAATTTAACAATTGTTAATCATTCCACTATTAAGTTATCTATGTGTCACGTTAAACTGGTAATCTAATATATATATTTTTCATATATAATAGGATAAAAGGTTAGATGTGTTGAGTCACAAGTATATTATAAGGACCAAAATAAGAATTTATCAATAATTGAGGGACCAAAAGTGTTATTCCTACCACTTTTATCGAAAGTCCTCTCAATGTTTAGAATTTAATAAGTGTTATTATATTAGGCTTTTTTTTTTTTAGTTAAGTAAGTACATAGACTAATTTGAAACTTTGATTTTGATGTGTTACCTTAATATAGTTCATCTATCGTTTGATTAGGTAGAAAATATATGCTTTGGTTGTTAATCCTATTTTATATTTATATTTATATTATTGAGAAAAATGAGAATACATATGAATGCATGCGTGATATATGATTATTTTCACTCATCTCTCTTTTTTTTCATTTTAATTATTTTAGACGTACTTTATTACTTGCATTTACATTACATAGTCAAAAATTAGGAAAATGTCAATAAAACATGTGTGTTTTGACACATGTTGAGAGTCATTGATGTACGCTGTGAAAATAGTGAAACATTTAAATGAGATTATTTTCATAGCAACAATATTTTGTCCTTTAGAATCTATACAAACAACATATCGTCACACTTTATGTTAAATCAAGTTATTAATGGTCGGGATTAGAATATAATTAGTCCAAAATCAATAAACATAAGCATAATGAGTTCCCTCCATAAATTTGACACTAATCTAGCCTGTTTTTCAACGTAATCCATGTTCTATGGTTAAGAAGTCTCCATTTTGGAAAATAATTTAAGTTATATGTTTTGACGCGACACTTATAATTTAACCAATTATAACTAGTTAATTATGCATTTTTTTATTCAATATAATGTTACTATCAAGTAATGTTCGTTGAATTGAGTTATCTGCTATTATCATGTGTCAGAGACAAAATTTACACCTTTAGTACATAGAATTTAAATTCGGCGAAAAATGGCATATACCAATTAAATTAGGTAAGTTTTGACACATGTTGAGATGTCGATGTAGGCTCAAGAAAATAGTGATGATTTTATGTTAGATTTGATTAATTAATTTCATAGAGACAAGAAGGGACCCTTGTCCTTGTGAATACAAACACCATATGTTAGGTAAAATCTTCTCAAGTTGTTTGTGGAGAGATCGATAGTTAGTCCAAAATCAAATAGAGAACCAATCAAGAATTTTCTTTCTCAATTTTAGTCCACTAATTTGTTGTTTCTGTAATGGTTGAAGAACATAATAATGTCTTAATTTATGACATTTGGTCATTGGTATGTCTCCTAGATCGACGATATAAAGATTTCTTATACTATTAATATAATTTAGATCAAAGTTTGTCCCTATTGAATCATGAAATATAAATTAGTCGAGCAACTGGTTTATATGAACTACTCATAATTATCACAAAATGTTACTCATAGTTATATTATATATATAAATGATCATTTTGTTCGTATATATTTTTGTACGATCGATGCATAAAACTTAAACTCTTGCTTCTGCAGTTACCGAGGCAAGGGAAGGGAGAGAAGGAAGACGATAAAATTCTCGAAGAATATCGTTCGAAAGGCGAATATTACGTTTGTTCATGTCTAAACCAAAACAATAAAACTAATGTACATCGCACCCCAGGGGGCTTATTGTACATCCGTCAATGGAACAACATGCAATACGTATCGAATGCAGCATTTCTCCTCATGGTGTATTCCGATCATCTCAGGGAAACTAATCAGATGGCTAGATGTGAACGTCGTTCGGTGGGCCCCGAAGAAATCTTCGCCTTCGCAAAATCACAGGTTAAATTTTAATTTTTACGTAACGATTTCGACTTACTTTGATGTGATTTTATAAGCATTATGTGTATTCACAATATTTTGTATACGTATGTTAGTGCTCATTGGCTAACCAATGCTAGCTCATGAAAAATAACAGGTTGATTATATCCTGGGTTTGAACCCGCGAGGTGTGAGCTACTTGGTCGGCTACGGACCCAAGTATCCCCAAAGGGTGCACCATAGGGGTGCATCGGTGGACTCATTCAAAAAGCGTAAGAGCTTCATAAGTTGTACCCAAGGCTATGATAATTGGTTCGGACGTAAAAATTCGAACCCGAATACGTTAGTCGGGGCACTAGTCGGTGGACCGGATAACAAGGACCGGTTTAATGATCATAGGAAAAATTTCATGCAAACAGAGGCTTGTACTTATAACACGGCCCCTCTTGTTGGGTTATTTGCAAAATTGAATGGGCTAGACAGAGGAACCGACAACATTGAAGATTCATTATTATTTTCAGCTAAATAAATAGTTTTATGTGCCACTATTTATTTGAAAATGCCACGCAATTGTTTTATTTACTTTTGATTGATTGAAGAAAGAAATATACAACAAAAGGAAAAAAAGTATATAGTCTATAGAGTATAATTCGTTCGATGTATTCATCTTTTGATGTTCCTCTGTTCACTTTTATGAATAAATGAAATTTACATCTCTTCTCCATTTGCTCTTGTGATTATTTTATTTTTATTAATTGATAATGAAAACGTCAATATATTAATTTGAAGTCGTTATAGAAAATAAACTTTAAATTTGAATTATTTTTTTGAGAGAGGTTCACTCGATGACTTTTTTTTTGTTTTTTCCATCTGGTGTCTAATACCCAAATTGGAGTTTGACTAAATTTGAATCACGTCGAGAGGTCCCAACATTGGAGATAAAACACTTTCTAATAAAGACGATTCTATATCCAGGGGATTCAAACCCGAAACATTTGATTAAGAATGAAGAAATATTTATCACTTTACCTCAATTCTTATTGGTCGTTTGATGACTTGTTAAGAGTCGATGTATTCTTCTTAATACATTGTTGGTATACAGTATGCCGACACCATATATAACCAATTTCTTTGAAGTTTATTTAAGAGAGTGAAAGGTAGTTTCATCGTAGGGACTCGTATTATTGTGCAGTCGAAGGGTCAAATCAATGACTAGTTGTCAAAAATACCAAGTTCAACTCACCTCAAATAACTAAAAAAAGTTCTCAAAAGATTTTGGTGGCTTATTTATGAAGTTTTGTATAAAATTTCAATTCAATCTATTCTAGCTTCAGAGTTTATACACGTGCTAGTAGCCTTTTCAGTGCTAAGCGTATAGTTACATATTAAAATGACGATTCAAATTTCTTGACACGTACTCCCTCCGTCCAATATTGTTTGTCAAGATAAAATCATTTCTTCGTCCAATATTGTTTGTCAGGATAAGATCATGCACAATTTTTAAATTTTTTTTAATAAAAGGTGTAATTTAACTAATATAACCCTACTATTAATCATTATTAAAATGGTTTGTACTTTTTGAAACCGGTAAAAGTAACTTTTTTCACGTTAAAATAGTTTTGTAACTTTAAAAGCAACTTTTTCACATTAAGAGCAGAATTAGAAAAAAGTGACTAATTATTTCTTGATTGTTTAAATTGACAATTAATTTTGGACAACTATTTTTAGTATACCTAACAAACAGTAGTGGACGGAGGGAATAGTAAAATATTCTATTAGACGAATAGAAAACATCTGAAGATCTCTCAAATCACCATAATAGTTTTTTTATCTTCTATACTAAGCGTAGTCATTCTGTATTAAATTGACGATTTAAATTTTTGACCTGTAAAATATTCTATCATAAAAATAGAAGGCATCGAAAAATCTCTCAAATCACCTCAATAGTCTTTTTATCTTCTCTACTAAGCGTTTAGTCATTTCATATTGAATTGACAATTCAAATTTTCAACCCGTAAAATATTCTATTAGAAAAATAAAAGGCATCGCCAAAAAATCTCTCAAATCACCCTAGTAGTCTTTTTATCTTTTCTTCTTAGAATTTTCAAAGAAGAAGGCGCTCGACCCTCTCCTTATCTATATTTTTCTAATTTATATTCTTGCATTGTCTCACCACTTGGCAATTTACCCAAGTAAAATAAATTTGATCGAACTCAACCCGTTACCTTTAACTATACTTTTACAAATTTTACTATTAATCGAAATTGGGTCAAATCGTTACGGCCGATAGCCAGAATTATGGACATAGAGACGAAGCCCAATTTTCCCTCATATAAACCCCAAAAGCCCATTTCAGGAATATAAGCTCGAGTTTTATATCACTTTCTATGCCATATAGCAAATCAAATATATATTTAAATTTGATTAGTCTGATAAACGTATATTTTTAAGACTGTCAATAATTCACGTTAAGTTACTACTCTCTATCATTAAAATAATAAAACTTGTGACTAACTATAACATTCCTCCAAAGCTCTAAGAAAAGTACCAAGTTAGCAAAACTTACATGTCATGAGGTTCATCAGAACTACTACTATTAATTATTTAGATTTAAAAAAAAAGTTGCACCACTAGGTTAATTACAACTCTAATTTCAAATTAAAAAACAAACTCAGATTTTAACTACTAATTTGGTTTTGTGGGTTACTTTTAAGTAGATCATCAAAGTCATCACACTTCTTCTGAGAATTTTCTTTTCCAGTAGTCTCTTTGTAACTTTCTTTGACAGATTCAAAAGTAGAATCAGTTGTGGTTGTAGCCTCTTTTATGGCATCTTGTGCTTTGTCCACTGTTTGGCTGCTAAAGCCTTGATGTTCTTTTTCCTCAGCCATTTCTTCAGCAACTCTTGTGAATTCTTCAGCTGTGGTAGGTGCTTTCTCTTCTGCATGATGATCATAATTTTCCTTGCTATATCTCTGCCTCCATATATATATCAAAATATAAATTAAGGTTGTAACAATGAAGAAATTAGAAGGATACAAGATAATAATCCATAACAACAACACCAACATATATATCCAATGAAATCTCATTGAATTTGAGACATTAGAGTATACGCAAACCTTATGAGTGTGGAGAGATATAAAGAGTGTTTTCAAAAGAAAAACTCTCAAAGTAGAGGAAGAAGAAAAAAAAGATAATAATCTGTAAGTATACTCTCTCGGTCCCTAATTACTTGTCCACTTTTGAATTGACACACCTATTACGAAAATAATGATTGACCTAGTAAGTTTACCATTTTACCCCTATTAGTTATGAAGTAGATGAATTAATAACCTAAGATTTTCAAGAAATTCAACATTTTTCAAAGTAATTTAATAGATAAAAAGTATTTGCCCTTCCTTAATTTATCAAAATGAACAAATAATTAAGGACAACTAAAAAAGAAAAAATGAACAAGTAATTAGGGACAGAGTGGGCATTATTTTAGTTCAAATACAAAACTTGTCTTAAAAATGCATGGGATATGTACATATTATTAATTCAGAATTCGTAAGCTTCAACGTAAGTCTAGCTCCCTTACCTCCTAGTCCGTTCAAAAAGAAAAGATCAATGTCTCCTTTTTTGTTTTGTTTTGGCTTTCGGTCCGACATATTTAAAATTACGAGATTAAAATTTAAAAATATTTTAATACATTTACCATGTCTTTAATAATTTCAAACCACAAAATTCTCTCTCTGGGTTAATTCAAAATATAATTAGAATATGATAAACAAATTAAAACCGAGAGGTATCTAACTCGAAGAAACCACTATTTACCCGTATAGTGTCAAGAAAGAAGGGCTGGCGCGGGCGTGCGAGGAGTTTGATGCGCGAGATAGTGTAATAGTAGAGAAACTGATTATAGCCACCCATATTTGGATACTCCTTCTAACTTCTAACTTAGCTTAACTTCACTTCACAATTTACAATTTGTTACAATGAAGATAGGTCTTTTAACACCCAATAAAATGCAACTTTTCTTTTTCTTTTTCTTCAGCCTTAGAGTTTGGCAAATTAAGGATGAATAGACAATAGGTTAGGGGGCAAGTGGCACACGAAGAGTCCTACACCTTATGAGCTTTGAACACATAGCACTTGTCCCAATACGTGGCGGATCATTTGCCTGCCTCGTCATGTCCTGCCCACAGGCCCGCACCATAACATATCATCGCTTCTCTATTTATTTTTTTAGTGGGTTAACTTATAATCTGATAATATGTTATATTTATATCATTATAGAGTTTAGGGATTAGTTTCATATTTTCAGTTCTGACTGTCTCAAACTCTCAGTTATATTCTAATAAGATGCCAATGATTATTGAGAAGAAAATAATTTGTCAACTGATCATATGTGGTTTATTTGATGTCATTTTATTTTTAAGTGATTTTTAATTATTTTTTTTTGTGAAATCTAAATAGCTAATCGAATCGATAATAACGAGTAACAGTAAATTAATATTTTAATATGTCTACAAATCGATAAACTTGAAAATCAAACTAAACCAATCGACTTAGAATGTACTTAACTTATTTCTCTATTTTTATTAAAAACTATTTGACCAAGAAAATTGAAAAACTTTTTAAAAGGGAAATCGGGTCGATAGGGTTTATTAACGTGCCTTTATATCGTCACCAACGCCAAAATTTCCTTGTTCGACAACAATATTCATATTCTTCCTTAGCTTCTATAATGGATTCCAATGGCGTCGAAGCAGCTCGTATTCGCCAGGAAATCGATTCCTTAAAGTCTAACAAGAGAAACATAGAACAACAAATTTCTTCTCTCGAAGCACAGCTTAATCAACTTGAAGTCAATTCAAGCACAGTATGTCCTCAGCCGCTTTCCAATGGAGATTTGAGCAATTCAAATGGTTTATCTCCCGATATGATTTACAGATACAGTCGGCACTTATTGCTTCCTTCATTTGGCGTTCAAGGTTCGGTTCAGTTCAATTTGCAGTGAGGATAGTTAATTGACTTGAATAATTAACTATTTCTGTTTGATAATTGAGATTTATTACTTGAAACAGGTCAGGCGAATCTATTGAAATCTTCAGTTTTGGTTATTGGAGCTGGAGGTTTAGGATCACCTGCTTTACTATATCTTGCTGCCTGTGGAGTTGGTAAGATATGTAATTGAATTAGCATATTTTGCTCTCGGATTCAGAATTTTAAGTTAGTGAATGGAGTTGTACATTGCAGTAACTAAAAGGATTTTTCGACTGTGCAATGCTGTTGAGCTACTGTTAGAGTTGCTGGGAATCACATTTTTCGTATGTATTTTGCAGGTCGAATAGGTATAGTTGATCATGATGTAGTGGAACTTAACAATCTTCAGAGGCAGGTAGTTTTTTGATCAATAGCTATGTGTTTAATGCACTGGTTTATTGAATTTGATGCGTGTTGTTTTTGTCAAGTGATTTTGAGATTTTTGCTATTTCTGTTAATAAATTAATTGGCTATGGTGTTGACATTGTGTTCCAGATAATACACACTGAAGCATATATTGGAAAGTCAAAAGTAGAGTCAGCTGCTGCTACTTGTCGCTCGTAAGTCGCAGATAGATTAACTTTGTTTTGCGTTGAGCCTGCATTTAATGTTCTAATTTATTTGTTTGTTCGTTTTAGGATCAACTCTTCCACTCAGATTGTGGAGCACAGAGAAGCATTCCGCACGTCCAATGCTTTGGAAATTGTGAGCAAGTATGGTTTAGTAACACCTATTTATATATGGCTGCATGATTTATTTCCTATATGTATCTCTTTTGATGTTTTTTTATTGGTTCAGTTTCCTCTTTTGCTTCCGTAGAGCGGTGATTTTGACATTTCCTTGCTTAATGATCTCTCTCAGATATGATGTGGTAGTTGATGCAACAGACAATGCTCCAAGCCGCTACATGATCAATGATTGCTGTGTTGTGCTTGGGAAGGTTAGCTGTTTCTTGTGATGTTATCTTTTTATACAAATTCTGCTGGTACTGTGATATTTACTGAAAGCTGGATACGGGAATGATATAAACTATACAATTGCCTTCTTATGCAATAACGTTTCCTTTGATCTTTCATGTTTAAGCTAACAGGAGGCTTTTTCATATAGCTATTACCCTCACTTTTAAATTGCCATGCTAATGTTCTGGTATGATCATGTAACTGTGGTAGTGAATATTATTGCCTGGACATACCGACACTGATCTCATAGTGCTAGTATGAAATTGGATGATGAGTTTCATTTGGATGTTGATCCATTTTCTGAGAACTGGCTTACTTGTATTAACAGCCTCTTGTATCTGGAGCTGCTCTAGGACTAGAAGGGCAGGTACCATTTCCTGACAGCATTCATCATTCCCAGAGCTTTTGTGTTTCCCTAAAACTTCAAATTGATTGGTAACTAACTCTATACTACGAATGGTTTGTATAGCTGACAGTTTACAATTACAATGGAGGTCCATGCTATCGATGCCTATTTCCAACTCCTCCACCCACAAATGCTTGTCAGAGATGTGCTGATAGTGGAGTACTTGGAGTTGGTACGTTGTTCTTCTCTCAAAATAACCATCTAATCTCCTGTCCTTTTTCAAGAAGTGTCTGGATTCCTTAGATTATCTCATATTATATCTCTTATGTGTGAAATTTCCTTAGTTTTCCGAAACAAAGTTCTCACTATAGTTTGTGTATTTGTTAATCTACTTATCTTGTTTATAACAATGGTAGAGACTTGGAGAGGAAAGAATTGATGCCATGTCAAACCTGGAATTTTTTGGAAATGCAACTATTTTCTGTGTATTATTTGTAGGGTTCATTTGTGAAACATATGGTGTTGCCAGCATGATATTACTTTAGATCCTTCTCTCAGTATTCATTTTTCCCTTCACTTCAGTTCCAGGTGTTATTGGATGTCTTCAAGCCTTAGAGGCCATAAAGGTTGCTAGCTTGGTTGGAGAACCACTCTCCGGAAGAATGCTTCTTTTGGATGCCCTATCAGGCCGGTTCCGTAATGTGTGTTCGATATTCTAATTCCTCGTACTTCCAGTCACTTTGTTCTTTATTCTTTCTGAGCAAAGGATATATTGCAGTCTTTTTTTTTTTACTTTTAAATAGATAGTAAGTAGGATCTGAAAAACAGTAAATTACAGGGCAAAAAATATCTGGAATCGTTAATTAAAAAAGATAAAAAGATTTTTCGAAGTAGCTAGCCCACAAATACTTCCAATACATGTGTTTTTACACTTAAGGATCACTGTATCATATATCTATTCTATACATGCCTTGTACTTTGATTAGGACATCCACAATCTCTGGCACATATATCAATTTATTTTCCCATGTTGCTCTACCTATCTTATTTTTCTTTTGGCATTGTCAACATCTCAAATCATCATCTCTCTCACAAATTAATTTAGGTCAAACTGCGTGGAAGGTCATTGCAGTGCGAAGCTTGTGGAGATGATGCAGTACTGACAAGACAGACATTTTCGGAGTTTGATTATGAAAAGTTTACTCAAACTCCACTATCCACGGTGCATTTCTTTTTCACAACTTTTCAATTGTATTTGATTGATTCACCCTTTGATACTGTATGCAAATGAGGACATAGCTAAGAATTCATCATCCGATAATTGATGATGGTTTCAGGGTCCATTGAAGTTGAACCTTCTTTCACTGGATGATCGAATTAGCAGCAAAGAGTACAACGAGCAAGTGGGGAGAGGAGAAGCACATGTATTAGTGGATGTTCGACCAAGTCATCACTATAAGATTGTTTCACTTCCCAACTCTATGAACATACCTCTATCGATGTTGGAAGGTAGATTGCCTGAAATATCTGCTGCTTTGGAAAAAGAGGCAAATAAAGAGAATGGTTCAAATGCTTCTCTGTTTGTAATATGCAGAAGAGGCAATGATTCACAAGTTGCTGTTGAATTGCTTCACAAATTGGGTTTCACTTCAGCAAAGGATATAATTGGGGGCTTAGAGTCATGGACTCACAACGTGGATCCAAAGTTCCCTACCTACTAACTGTATTATATACCTACAAAATTGTCTTTTATTCCTCACTTTATTTTTTTTTGCCTTTAATCAAAAACTTAATTTATGTTTCCGATTGAACTCTTATTATAGATTTTATTAAGTGTTAAAACTCAATGAGGTTGTCCTACTATTATCATGGGTGTTTATCTCCTTAGTTGATGGGTGTATAATATATATATGATCTATGTATACCGTCTAGAAAAAGTACACAATAGCTATTTGCAAAGGTCCCTATATTTTTTATTTAGTTACGCGTCATTAATTCCTTTTTAAGTGACTTTATGTGATACTTGAGTAAGGTTGAGTCACTTTATCATTACAAAAAAATAGTTTAACGACTAAGTTAAGTGATCATCTATGAAATTATCCTGAAACTCATGTACTGCAGAGGAAGGTTTAACAAGAGTATGTCCAACAATACATGACCTTCACCATAATGACAATCCAGCAATCCCATGATTGCAATTAGTCAGTTTCTGTCAAAAGCTTTTTAACACAAATTGGGGTGTCTGGGATAGCTTGCACACATCCGTAACTACAATATATAGATAGATATATATAGACACGTGCACACGCAGACATATTTAAAACCAGCAAATACATATAATATCTGGCATGAATCTTTTCAACACCAACAGCTATGTAATGACAGTTGATAATGCAAATTTATACAGTCTACAAGGAAGTAACTGATCAGACCTTTGATGATTAGACCAATTAGAAACCGGAGTTATCGATCCCAGAGGTTTTAGGGTACCCATCATACTCCGGTTTAATATTCAGCGTTGCACAAATAGCTCTAAATTTCAGTCTCAAGGAGTCAATAGTATCGGTGGCAGATTCGTTCTCTGGGTCAGTGAAGGGGTATTTATTGAGCAATTCATCCATCTGTTTGATGCTTTTCTGCACTCGGGATGAGAAACAGGTTGGCTCTACTAAGATAGCAGCATTCCATACATCAATACAACCTTTGTAAAAACCCAATTCTTCGCCTACTTCAAACCCCTTTTTGAGTCCTACCTGTTTGCCTTCATCTTTACCAGAATTTAGACCATCCGTATAGCCTACCGAGTAGCCTTCTTTGTAATGAATGTCCTCTAGATTCAATGATGAGTCAAAAATGTCCTCACTTGAATTAACGGTCTGAGAACTCATCATTGCTTAACCAAGATTGTTTGGAGAAGAAAACCTGAAACGGTGAGATGTTAGTTGTTAACTACCACTTGACACAAGGTAATGGAATCAAAACTTGGCAAGACAACACAAAACCCTTCCAATTATAACACAACCTAATAATCCAATATATTTTGGTTGAATGACCAAATTTTTCTAGCAAGATATACAGTATGGATTGAAAAAAAAAAAACTTTACTTTTCGAGCAAATAAAAAAAGATGAAAAGTAACAGCAGAGAGATGTCAAAGGCTGACTTAGCAAATACCACTAAATCACTATATACATTAGAATAATATCAGAAGCAGAAAACCAAGTAAGCAAATCAATAACACCTCAATATTTAACCAAAAGAAGAGGTTTTGGCAACGTTCAATGGAAAAAAATGAATCAGACGTCCACACAAGAGATAAAAGATACTTTCTTTCTCAACAAGCTCTATATGTGAATACACTTCAATGTCATTCTGAAGCAGCCTATGCAACGCACTGACTGGACCATTGACTTCTTTCCAAGCTCTCTAAATCATACTACTCCATATGAAATAGACCACGGAAATAAGAGAAAATGGAGTTATGGCAGCCAAAGATACATGACAATGGCTGTTTCCTTGGTGGTATACAAATTCGATACAAGGATACAGAACGCTTTGGAAGTTTGGATTAAAACACAAAATCTACAATGCATATAGCACTTTTTTTTTTGTAAATCATCATTCAAAACTTAATGAAAGCATGAAGCTTCATTCAAAACAAATCGCTACCTTCTCAACTTTTGACTACTGGTGTTTGTTAGAATAGCAGACTACTACAATAGAACAGATCAAGAAGTCATGACAATCATATTGTGAACTTTATTTATGGTCTTAATTAGAAGTTAAAGTCATTAAAAAATCAGTTTAATTAAGTCCTTAAGATATAAAAAGTTTAGACCTTTAAAAGGAATTGAGCTGAAAACCAAAGTTTTCTCACATTATAATTCTTCATTTATAAGAGAGCTTGAACCAATGTGAGAAAACTTCGGTTTTCAGCTCAATTCTAGCTTGCATTCATTTAAAATCTTGTACTAACTTTTGAGGTAGAGTTAAGCCAAAGTTCCATTTTTTAAAACATGCATTACAAATATGTGAAAAAAGAATTTGCGTAGACATAACTAGCTTTTGGAGACAGATTATAGGGGTGTTGCCCCATTATGTGATGATTCCTGCCACATTAACACCTTGTTTGGATGGTTGTTACTCATTGTATTGTATTGTTAGTTTAAATACAATATTAGTTTTGATTGTTACTCCAAATTCTATTGATGTAATCGTGTCGTTACCTTAATAACTTTTTTCTCATTTTGTCTTTATTTATTATTCAATAATTCAATTTATTATTTACTTTTCATAGTAGTTGTACACCATACCCTCCTTCAACTTCAAATTATGGATGTGTGAGATTATGTAACACAGAACAATACAATCTATCTAAACATTATATTCATCGTACAATACATAACAATGTAAGTATATAATTCTAGCAAAAGGATCTGTGGACACAAATTCAGAAGAAATTTGCAAAACCAAAAGATAGAACTTTATTGCCCGGTTACATGCTCACTAAACACAAAGAAATTGTCTATGATGGAAATTTTTTGGTATTTCGGTTTTTTCAGTTCTTGCATTTGGTGTACCGAATATCAAATCGAATTTTTCGGCTCTGTTCGATTTTTGTTAATTCGATTCGGTTTTTGTTAGTTCGGATTTTGATCAGCCATCTATATAAAAAAAATTAATTTCACAATTCACACAAATCAGAAAGAAAAAAAAAAACGAAAGATAAAATAGAAATCAAGAAAACAAAAGATAATCAAATACCATACCTGGACTGGTCGCGGCGGTCGGCGGGAAGTGGGAAGTGCTGCGGTGCACTGCTGATCGCTGAAAAGTGGACAGTGGTGACCTAATTTTAAATTTTGTTTGCCTATAATATTTATTATTTCATATTAATAATTAATACTCCTATGATATCAATATATATTATAATATAATATATTTTGATTAAATCAAAATATCGAAAATATAAAAATACATATCGAAAATCGAATCAAAATATAAAAAATGCAAAAATATATACCAAAAATCGAATTGAAAATCAAAAAGAGCATCTCTCAATACTCAAAGTTTCATATCTGAAGCAAGTTTTCAAGAAACTGCTCGAATTTTAGCAAAAGCGGCTCTCCGGGGTCGTATCGATTGGTTGAAAGGCCTATAAAAAAAATTCAATTTAATTCGATATTTTGATTTTTCAATATTTATGCCAAGCCTACATAATATAAATTTACTACTATATTTACATATCTTTGCTTAAGATAATTACTTATAACCTAAACAAAAGAACAAAAAAAAAAAAGCAAGAAACTACTGCACTACCTTTTTCTCCTAACGAGAAAAAGAGACTAACCAAAAAAAAAAAGAGAGGGAATATTGCCTTATCAATAGTTGTCCAATTAGAATTGAAATATTTTCTTTTTCACCTTTTAATTGACTTGTGTTTCTTTTTTGCCTTTCTAGCATGTTCTCTTGTCTCCTCATACTCAAAATCTAAAACCTCTATGGGTAATTTCAAAAGTGAGGTATTCGGAGAGTTGTACTTAAATTTTATTTTATCTTGATAGATAGAGAGATTATTTTTGATAAATCTTGATCGACTCAAGAAAAAAACTTATTACAGCATATAGTATACGTAGATTTTATTTCTATCTTGGTAGGTAAAAAGACTATTTCCGATAAACCTTGATCGACTCAAGAAAAAACATATTAAAGCATATAGTGTACATAGATTTTATTTCTATCTTGATAGGTAGAGAAACTGTTTTAGATAAACTTCGATCGACTCAAGAAAAAATGCATATAAATGTATGCCCAAATATGAATTTTTCAAGATAATTTTGAATACTAGTACTATTTTTCAAACACCTACTTGGTAGGGCTATATGATAAAGACAAGACCTAGACTACCTTTTTTTTCACTCTTTATTTTTTGTTGTTATAAATATGAAGTTGGCCAGGCCCCTACATTGCCCCTTGTATGTCAACCTCTATATAATATCAAATCAAAGCCATCTCCAATATCCTTCCAACACCATCACCAAGAGTGTCAGTATTCAGGTGTTCACGTGTTTGAATCTCACTAGCAACAATTTTCTTCATCAAAAAACACTTTTCATTCCTCAAAACTACCAATAAACTTTTCCATTCTACATGGACAAGATTATGAAATACCAAATTTTAAAACTTTTACTTATAGCTATACTTGTACTCATGACTCCTCTAATATCTTCATCTCAAAGAACTCCTTATCTTTATTTCATAGTTAATCTTCTCATTATCTCATTAGGAGTTGATGCAGGCCTAATTACCTTTTTCTCCAAATCTCAAAATGATGACAAAAATAGTCCTCCTTCTCTTTCTCCTCAGCAACAAAAAATTGTTCCTAAATTGGTTGAAAAATGTGTTTCTGAGAAAATTGTTGGGGTCACAAAATTAGTTGTGAAGGATGAAGCGAAATTACAAAAATGTCCTTCCACACCAAGTTTGTTTTTTATTGGGAGTAGTGAGGATACAAGTGAAGTAAAAGAGGAGGAGGAAGAGGAGATTAGTGGGGAGGAGTTGTTTAATAAAGCTGAGATATTTATTGGTAATTTCTACAATCAATTGAAAATGCAAAGAGAAGCATCATTTGAATCATTGAAAAGAGTGAGATTTGCTTCTGATATTAAGATTTGTGTTTAATTTAAGGGAGAATTAATTGCATTAGTCGGTATGAAGAGGTTAGGATGTTCGCAGTATCACAAGTGGAGTTTGAGCCTGATAAGATGTTCACAATCTCATCAATAGAGTCTGAGCTTGGTAGGATGTATATAGTTTCACTAGTGGGGTCTAAGCGTGATGAAGTAGGATGTACGAAGACCTTATTTCTATTTTTTTGAGGTAAAACGATTGTATTCGATTTCGAAGAAGCATAGCAAGATTTAACTTAGAGGAGTATTCTAGCAATATTGTATTGTACATTTATATAAAAGATAAAGTTTTGGATTTAGAATTTAAGAATTAGTTTGTAATTAATGTTGTTTTTTAATTGTATATCGTAATTTGGGGGAGTACCTAGCATATTATACATGTATGTTTGCACATTTTACGAGTTAAACCTGCTTTTTTTGTCTAACTATTTGGTGATCAAGTTTTTTGACCCGATTAATTCAAATACTTGTTGTGTAGGATTAGTTAAGAGGAAAGTGTTCTTTAATCGAAACTTCTTTCATATCAAGAATTTGAATTTGAAATCTTTAGTTAAAGATTAAAAATCTTATTCATTTCAAATCGAACTTTTACTTCGTAAACTCTGCGAGGAAATACATGCTATGGGTCAGTTGAGTTATATAACTGTTCCCAAAATTGTATTGACATTTTTGAAAGGTAAACTTATTCTTTATACCCTTTAATACTTTATTCGATATTCTACTATCCTAAAAGGAAAATATGCTCAACTTTATTCTAAAAAATGTAATTTTCAGAATATTATCCTTAGTAAAAGGAAAAAGAAGAAGCAATTTCCTTGAGATAAAGAAATCTCAATAGAGGGTCGAGTGCTAGCTCAATTAGTGAGCTATATGCATTCTATCGTTAAGGAGGTTTAAATATTTTCCTTGAATCGAACATGGTCAAAACCAAATATATAATGAATAAAAGAAAAGGAAATTATCGATATCGATACTGGGATAGCAAGAAGATGCGTATTGGCTAATAACATATCTATTACCTTTACTCGGTCCGTCCCCATAACAAGCTTCCTATTGACTTCTCAAACTTTAACAGCAACTTGTGTTTGTGTTTTATTCTGCCATGATAGCAACATAACATCGTCAGCTTTGCTAAGGATCTATTTGTACTTATTAATATTGGAATTTAGTACTTTGGACTTATATTGCACCTTATATTTATATATAGTAGTAAGTAATTTCTTGACACAATATAACATTTGAGCGAAACATTGACAAAATTCTGACTCCTCCCCTGATCACAATCACATGTTTCCCAATAGAATTATGCAAAAAACTAAATTATATTACTAGGTTAATTATAAAATAACTCTATGTAATCGTTCATAAAAGTGTAGCAAATAACTTGAAAAATAAAATGTTACAATCGGGTAAAATATACTTGGGAGTGTAAACAAGTGGCGGATCTAAATCATAAGCTATCGATTCATAGTAACCAATAGGCTTTTGTCACGTGACTTGTATATATAGTAAAGAATTCACTAAATATTTATAAATATTGATTATGAACCTAATTGTCACTATATTATTTTGAAATAGTTATGAAAAACATAAACTTTAAAATTTGAATTCGCCTCTGCAATAAAATATTCTTGATGTTATCCATTTGTAGTAGTTAGTTCCTTCACAAATATTCTTTTTGTTGTGGTAAGTAAAAAAGTTGAAGACTTGAAGCTCTTTTCCTCCCTGCCATATTTATGTGTGGTGACCATACAAAAGAGTGATAATATTATTCTCTTAAAAAAACTTCAAATTCTTTTTGTACGTTTTGGTCTATGAAGAAATGTTTTTTTAAAAAGTTTTCCTCCGGATATCTAGTATTTATCCATATTGAAGTTGATAAATTTGGATTCGTGCATTGTAGGGTTCATTTCAAAGGGCGATGCTTCCAACAATTTTTTTTTCATTTCCACTCGAATTCAAGAACTCTGATTAAGAATAGAGTAATCTCAATCATTCCATTACAAACACATCTTGCTACTCAGTGCTTACTCTGCTTGATCATCTCCCCATCTCTATTCTTTTATATGCCCTTTTTCATAAACGTCTGTTGTTTGTACGACTCTTATCAATACTAAAAGCCAGTCAACCACTCTTTACACCCTTTTGTAGAAGAGTTCAAACTGTATGCCCTAACAATATAAAAGATATTTAAAAAGCAAATTCAAGATTTGAAATTTATAAATTCTAGCAATTCTGATTTCTACCAAACATGTAGAATAAATTGTGTATCAATCCTGCTTGTAAGGTAATTACTTACAATTTTTTAATGATAAGCATTGCATGGCAACTCGAAAGAAAATGGTAGCAACAAAATATTGTATCACAAGTTAATATACGATGATAGTTTAAATTTTTATATGGCCAGCAAATTCTACTCCAATAATAAAAGTGGAGTGAAATTAGATAGAATTATGGTACCTAAAAGCAAACAATGTAAGTATTTAGCCTTAATCTTCTAAATATATGACAATAGATGAAGATGCAACATGCAAATTTAAATAAAACTGTCTGAGATCCCAGCAATGGTATACAAGAGTTGACTGTTAGAGGCCAAACACATCTACAAGATAAATGTGTGATTATACAAGATTGGACATAATTAGAAATGGTTACAATATAGAATAACATAAGAGAATGTTGCATGAGAATGGTTTGGTTCCGATGTAAAACTCAGGATGTATGCCCTTCTCTTAGAGGCGTTTGTATATCTTGAACCGATAACTTGATACCCACAGGCCACAATGTTTACAAAACATGACTCAACATCTGATACCAAATTGAAGTTCTCATCAATTTGAATTCTCTTATATACACTGGCAACTTTAAAGGTATCAGAGCCTGCACCCCGTTGGTGTGTTTGTGTATCCTTAAAGTAAGTGATGGTTTTACTCGAGGCCTGTGAAATCTTAATCTGGCAGATGCTTTTGACTCCCATGACGAACCAAAAAAATTTCGTCCATGCCCTCATTGCACAGGAGAAGCGCTTATCCAGATGCTGAAGGCAAAAGTTCATGATAACTGACTAGCCAACAGCCTGTGCTCAAGAATCACAGAAACTCACCTCGGAAAGGCCACAATATTGGTCAGTATAAGGGCAATGTAGAACCTATTAAAGATTAGAAAAAAGCCTGAATAAGCTATAAAAGCTTAATAGA